TCTGTTTCTGTGGGAGACGTACATGTCCTGGTGCCAGTAAGGCTTCCAGTAACTGCTGGTTTGAAGAGCAGGGGGATTTGATCCCAGGCTTCAGCTAGAGAGCATCCTCGTCCACTTGGGCTCCCTGGAGGACATGGCAGGCCAGCTGCTCAGGCTCGGAAGACGTCATTAAGAAAGCAGCCAAGGGCAGAGAGGAGGCGAAGCAGCGCAGAGCTGGGAAAGCTCCTGGCTACAGGAAGCAGAGGGGACGTGGAGCCAGTAATAACTCCAGAGTTTCTCCGCTGCCATTCTCCTGCCCTGGCGCTGCTCGGCACTGCCCAGCCGCCCCCTCTCACACCTACACCCGGCCACCCCCCTGTGCATCAGAACACAACCCCCAGACGCCAGCCCCCGCACCCGCTAGGGGGTCCGGGCGTGAGGTCAGGGGTCAGTGAGCCACAGGCCGCAGGGTGACGCTGCTGCAGCAGACCCAGCAGGGCTGAGTCTCGGCGGCGGGAGGAGAAGCTGGTGCCTCGATCGGCCTCCTCCCACCTGTGAAAGATGCAGGAAAAAGCTCCTGTCCGGCGTCATCCCGGTTATGGAAGAGGAGCTCATTTCCAGCCATCCTGTCCCTCATTCTTTTTTCCGCCGGACTCAGTGGTGAGAATTATCGTTCTCCTCTGTTCACCATGCGGTTCTTCCAAACAGAATTTGTGTGTTTTTTTGGAGGAGCGGTTTCCAAAGGAATACCCCTTGTCCCGTTTGAATCTGACTGCTTTCAGTTACATGTGGTCACTGTTTCCAGTGTGGTGGGATGGATCTTCCCCGCAGGCTCTGATAACGGTTCTCCCTAAATCTCTAAACAAAATCCTGAGGCACTCGGGGTCTGTAGCTCCAGATCCCTTAGAATAATGCATTAGTTATTGTCTTTTTGGGGATATTATTGTGATTTATTTTGAATATCATGACTAAGTGGTATGTAACTGCATTGCTTCCACAACACTGTTGAGTCAAGAAGGGCCTTACATTTGCCAAAGTATTGGCTTTTAAGTCATTCCATGGATATCCTCGAGTAAAAAATCCTTTGTATTGATTTTAAAAGCTTTTTATGTGTGGCAAACGGGGCTTGTCCTGGGAACTAATGGATCTTGCAGTTTTAATGAAGTCTGGTGCTATTTTGAAAGATTACTTAGTGTTTGCATGGATGCCTGGACCTGTTGTTCAGGAGGATTCAAGAGCTCTGTTTTCAAGCTCCTCCTGAATGAGCTCTGCTGTTATCTGAAACTAGAACACACTCTTATGCAGTATCTGCTGCAGGAACTCCTTAGGTGATCGTATGCAGCAAACTGTGACGCAATACTACAGTTGTTGATCTCTGATTGTTAACAGCAAAACAGTCTTTCCTGCAACAGGCTGCTTGCTTTCTGCTGTATGTGTGTGTGTGAGTGCTTTCTGAGTTGAACTCAAATTAGCTGTTTTTGGAAGGAAGCAAAATTAGCGGGAGAACTAGAGAGGACAATGGAACAAGTAAAGGGTTATTCCATGCTGATAAGAGAAGAGAAACTCAAGCCAGTCCTGCCCCAGAACCTCCTGTCAATTCCTCAGCGCCATGCTCCTTGAAGGCCTTGGGCATTGGAGCCATGTGCAGAGATGGCCTGCGCTGTCAGGAGTAACACCTGTGATATCACTACTGTGACACTAGATGCTACGTGTCACTAGTGTGCATCCTGGTTCTGCGTGCCTTGCACCAGTCAGTGTCCACATTGGTTTTCAGTAAGGGCCGCTGGAGAAGACGGCAATCCCCGAGGCAGTTTTTAAGTGCTATCAGATACTCCTGCAACTGTTTGTTAATGTGCACGTAGTATGTTTTATAGACGTAAACCTCAAATTTATACAGTTCTCTGGCAGAACTGGTATGGAACAATCTTGATGTGATGTACGAAGCTGATGACAGAACGTTAAAAATGGACATTCACCATGTTTTTCTGCACACTCATTTTTTTTCTGCCGTTTCATGTTTTTCAAACGAGTCGGTCATCTGTTTCAGGTGGAGCCTGCTTGGACTTTCCCCTGGTGCTCTCTTACCGGATTGCTTAGGAACAAGTAATAGGTCTATTCCTGCTGAAAAGAGAAGAAAGAAAACGTGATGTTTTGGCTGGGCAGCCTTCTTCAGGTGTGAGGAAGATAGGGCAGTCATACTGTATTGCTTGCTGTGCAGGCAGGGCTGCTGTGAGTTCACGGCCGTTGAGTGTTAATATTGTGCTGGTGGGAGTGAGTGCTTGTTCCAGGCACGGGAAGCCTGGTAATGATATTATCGAGTCATCGTTATAAACAATACATTTCTATCAGGGCATCAGGAATAGCTCTGACATTTTCTTCTATCTCTGGCTCTACAAAGTGCGCTGCTGATCTGTCCCAAGTGTTGTGTTGAAGGAACTACCGGGGCCAGTTTCATTGACTACTTTGAAAGTTTTTAAAACCTCAAAACAAGAGTTTTCTTAGTTGTGGTTTATCGAAATTGAAAGGGTTAAGTTCCTGTGTAAGACATTTGCTAAAGACCTGTACTGAGTCTTGTTGCACTTCTCTGGGTGTTCTCTGCTGTGTACTTTTTGATAATGCAGAGAAATCCCGAAGCTCAGCTGCTGTTCATCTCAGTCTCTGAACGGTCACCACTGCTCCTGGCTTCTCCGTGACTCTGCAATTGTACTGTACTCCATTGAGTACTGTACTGTACTGTACTGACTGTACTATACTCCATTGAGTACTGTACTGTACTGACTGTACTATACTCCATTGAGTACTGTACTGTCTGTACTATACTCCGTTGAGTTCTTATTGACTACTATACTCCATTGAGTCTAAATTTTCAACTGAAACAATTTTCACATACTGTCTCTCTCCAAAGTCTCACAGTGTTTTAAACATAATTGCATTTGAACATTCAATTAAAGAAATTTCAAGAACAGACAGGCCAGGGTAACTGAATCTCTTTAGTCTCCAAGGGACAGTCGAGGGCCAAGTGGAAACTATGAAAGCATGCATGGGGACTGAAACCAGGAAGCACTTATTTCATTTGAATTAAATTGATTGAAGGGTTAAGTAAGATTACAGACCTCTTGTTCCCATGTGGATCCAGTTACTGCTCCCATACCTTTTTTTGAAAAATTAAGCAAAAATACAATGAAAAGCTGAAGTTGCAATCAGATTACAGCCAGTCACTGTGTGGTCTGACCCTCATGTTTTCTGGGTTTGTCTGGAAACTTGCGGATACAAGGACCGTAGCTGTAATGCAGCGAGATCAAATGTTCTGGCAGAGAGATTGTGGTATTCTGTCTAACACAGCAGGGACCTAATTTTAGTGGGATTTAGAGCCAAACAAAGCACTGCGAATTGGCTTGTGATTGTACATCTGTCATTCTGGAGTGGGTCCCGGTGTGATTTTCGGTATTTGAGGCAGGTCTTTTTCTGTTTTATTTTACCACAAGTGGATTTCTGACAACCTCACACATTTCTTAGTGCCACCAGACTAAAGAAGAAACTTTAAAGGACATCTGAAATCTGGCCGGAGTGTTTGCCTTTGTAATTCCAGGAGTTTAACTGGCTTTCAAGAGTTTTAGGCAAGTGCAGGGCAGCTCTCCAAGCTTAAAAGCTTTAAGCAGGAAACCAGGGAGGAGGATATATGATAACTAGAAAAGAAGAAAAACAATGAGGGTGTCCCTGACTTGATTCCTACTGATTTGTACTGACGACTTGACTGCAAGGACTGAAACTGTTCCTGACCTGATTTGTATTGAACTTATTTGGGGCCAATAAAAATCAGGCAGCACACCAGCCACTATCTCTCCAGAAACCCCTGGGACCTTGTAACATGAAAGTCACTAGCAAGAGTATGCCGTAGAGACTTCAACAGGCAGTGTGTTTTAGAGTTTGTGCTGCCAGTGAAAGACTGTGCCATTGGCCAAACTTGTGACAATAGTGTTGATCATATGCTGCACCAAGCAGCAATATTGATCCTTATCACAAACACTCCCATTGTGCACATGAATAATGGCATCCAAATATCATGACTTGAATGTGTTTCCCTTGGTCACATGGCGCTATGTGAGCGTTACCTGCAGGTGCCCTCATTTTCATTTGCACACAGAGAAGACACGTCCAGCCCCTGTGTGAGCTCCCTGCGTCAGCTCAGGGCAGTCCTGGTTCCCAGAGGGCTGGTGTGTCTGCAGGTCTTCCAGCTCCCCCGAAATCACCAGCAACTGAAGAGCTGGGACAAGTAAATGATTTTCTGGTTTCATTAGGCAAAGAATGAGCCGAGATCGGTGGTTAAGAGCTGAGCAGGAATGAAAGCCTGCAGACACACTAGCCCTGCAGGGCCAGAATTGTGTGAGCCATTTTATCATAAACCAGTGCAACCTGTATCTGAACTGGAAACAAGTGCACACGATCACGATATGTGAGAGATAAGCTTTGCTGATACTCCTGTTAATGAAAGGTGTATTGCATTTCATGGTCTGTTTTCTTTTGCTTTTTATACTGAAACTTACGTCAGGCAGTAAGTAAGTACAGTAACCATGCAATTACATTGAGCTAAATATAAATATACATAGAATTGAAAAGGCAAGCTGCACCTTAGTAATGTAAAGTAGAACAGAAAAACTCTTCAAATGTGTTTCCACCATGAAAGGAATCTATCAGATTTGTTAAACCCATTGAAATCCAATCTGGCTGTTTTTTGTTCTGTTTCTGAATAAGATCAGTCTTTGCTGGGCTACACACATTAATTTATCTCTTTTGTGCTATAATCCAGCAAATATAGTACACAGTAGGCTATGAATAAGCTGCCCAGCAAGAGGAGAAATTTCAAGCTAATCACAAAATGAGATTTTTATCAAAGTTGTACCCTGAAAGTAAATTGCCCCAGTCACAGATTGCAAGCTTTTGAAATTGCAATTACGCTCATTATTGTTTTTTTTTCTAGAATGTATTCACAGAAGATTGTAAAGGAAGGCATTCAAAGGAAGTTTAATTATAGCTGGCAAGAGAGATGTTTGGCTGGAATGTCAAGACCTAGATAAGAGCAGCTGTACTCCTGCTATCAGGCCCTCTGAGATACAGCACTGTAGCCCTGCGGCTGTACAGCTTCAAGCTCTTTTCCTCTCTTTTCATTTCAGCTCAGGTGGATTTGATCTCTTTTTTGTGTTTTGTTGTGGTGACAGGCAGACTTGTGAACATGCGCTTGCTGAGTCTCGCTCTTGTCACACCAACACACTGAAAACATGGTGGCTCTGGGGGACCCCAGGGTGGTGCGCTACCCCCACTTCACCCCCTGAGACATCACTGCTGCCGACCCAGACATCAAGGAGCAAGGAAAGGCTGATTCTGCGCTGTAAAGTAGAAAGAAGAAATGCAATGGCTCAGCTGTTCATACCTGAAGAAGAGATTCATCTAAGAGGAATTAGAAGTGGAACATAAGAACTAGCTTTCACTTGTTCCTTTGCAGCCAGCACACACTCTCAAACGCAGATGCATCACTGTATCCAAGCTCCAGTGCAGAGTCCTTCCTTCAGTATACCCTGGACGGATCCTTGTTCAGTGCTTTTTATTGAACCTTATTTGGATGTTCTTTATCCAGTTGATCTGCAACCCAGAGCTTTCCCCTGCTCACCAGTTCAAGCATGCTGTATTCACTTTTTATGCCTCACCCATTCAATCTGTAGCTCTGCTTTCCAAACGTGTCTGCTGCGCTCTGTGTCTGCCTTGTCCCGACAGATCTGTTTTCTGTGGGCCATTTCAGATCCTGCCCTTGCTGGTTCTGCATTCATCTTCCCTGGAAGTCTAGGAACTGGTAGTTATTGCCAGTTTGCTTTCAAGTTCCAGAGATGGTCAAAGCTTCAAGGATAAAACAAAATAATGTGATTAATTCATCTCCTGCCTGAGGTCTCTTTCCTTACAAGGAAGGACCCAGTTATGACCGTTACTTGGACATTCGAGGTCCTGAAAGGAGCAGGAGTGTGGTTTGTGGGGTCAGTCTTTAAGCTGTGTTGACATTCAGCCCCTTAGTGAGCCTCTAGTTGAGTCAGTCCAGTGCCCCAGAGAGCCAGCGCCCCAGCAGGCAGGATGGAGAAGAAAAGTCCCCAGCTCCACCCATTATTGAGGCTGTGGAACAAAGTGTTCACATCTCTTCCCCCCAGCACTGCCAGCAGATCCCGTCTGCGCCAGGTACCGAGCCCAGCAGGGTCATCTTTCTGCCGTGCTTGTGACAGCAGAAATGTTTATTTTAGTTTCATGTGTCTTCAGCTTAATCATAACAAATATTTTTTTTAAATGTTTGGTTTGTTGATTAAGCTGAGAATTTGTGCAACACAGAGATTTTTTTTAAGATTGTGTTTAGATCAGGGACCGCCAGACCTGGTCCTGGAGGGTTGGTGTGTCTAGACATTTTCAATCCAGTGTGGTTCATAACGACCTGAAGCATCTCATTATTGGCTTAATTGGACCGGTTTAACAGCCTCGTCCAGCTCTTCAGGTGCTCTTGTGCTTGAGACCTGGAGCACCTGCAGACACACTGGCACTCCAGGATCAGGATTGGAGACCTCTGGTTTAGATAATACACAACCACAATACTGGCAATTAAACCTGAATTGAAACAGACGCTAATGAGTAAGACAGTCCTCATCGAGTATAGGAGATGTTTATATATATGTATAGCAAGGGCTATCATTGTCCATATTTGACAGATGAAACTGTTTTTTCAGTAAATCTCAAATGGTTTGAACTCACTCATCCTCACTCCTTTGTACTTGCAACCATCAGCTTATTGTTATTATTAGTACAGGACCTTCAAAATCAATGAAATGAAAGAAATCAATCTACTGAGAATTCTGGCATAGTAAAACCCCACAGAAGTATGTAAGGTGACCAATTTCACATAATATTCTGCTTCACGTTTTGAGCTGCCTGAGCAAAATCTTGAAATCTTTTTAAGACATGAGTAGAGAAATTATTTTTATAATTGCCTGGACAAATTATGAGCTGAATCTATTTGCTGATGTATTAGACAGAACATAAGAACGTTTCCAAATTACAGAAGGCTATTTAGTGTGAGTAGTTTTTTTTGTAATCACTTATCCTCAATAAATTTGAGGATCTCATCTACCAGCAGCCCTGAGTGGGTCTAACAACAGCGTGGCTAGTAATTTGCTCCAGACTCCCACAACCCTTTGTGTAAGGATTTTCCTCCTGTTTTCAGATTTGAATACACTTTCTCCAGATTCCATCTGTGTCCTCCGATTCCTGTGTGAGATGATTCTAAAGGAGGCCATGCAGTTCCCTTTGTCAGTGGCTTTTAGGATTTGGAATATTTAAAAATAGTCTACTCCTACACTATTTTACTAATGATACTATATTCTATCTCATTAAAATACATACTGTATGAGGCTCAGTCACTATTATCCCTGTTGCTGTAACTTGATTACTTATTTGACCAATTTGAGCATTCGCCTCCCAATCTGTACTCTCTGTTTTATGTTAAACTCTCAATACCAACAGACTCATCCCCCTGAAAATTCTTAATGAGGAACTTTGTTAAAAGCCTAACTACACCATGTCAAAGGCTCTCTTACTATCCATTGTTGCTGTTGCTTGTAACAGAATTTCCTGATGAATACCGACACCCAACAATCAGATGCCTTGTGAATGTTTATTGAGTATTTTAGGATAGTTTTGGATGAATCTGCTTGGGAATGTGGCAGATGGGGTGGAGGAGGAATACTGGAGTGGAATGTGAAATGAGGTGTTTGCTTGAGATGACGGTGGGAATGATTTTGATTTAGAACAGCTGGGTGAAATTGGCTTGTTTTTTGCTATCCACCCCAAACTTCAGTTAAGGATTTCCATTTATTTAGGCAAGACCTGTCTTTTCTAAATCCATGCCTGTCGGCTGGTCTAGTTTACTTCTCATTACCGTTTCCAGAAGCATCCAGTCACCCCCCTGTTTTTCTGTCCTGCAGATGGGGTAAAGGCAAAGGCCAGCAGAGAATCCGTGAAGCTGGCCTCCCGCTGATGCGACCAACTCACCTTGCTGACAGAAACAGAGGGAAGACGCCAGGAAGCCCTCGAGTTCCTCTGTGGTGCTGGAAAGACATTGGGAATATCCCAGCAGGATATATATGGAAGCCTTAGGGGAGAGCCAGGCTTTACCGCGTGTCCCTCTGGTGATAACAGGCACCTCCTCTGGCCCTTGGGAAGCGCTTCTTGCAGGAACAGGGGACGGAAACTGGAGAGCCATCCTGAGGTAGCCTCGCTAGAAAAGACCCCCAGGCTAAAGACGCAAAGGCTGCTAAACCTGACTATGTATTATTGCATGTACTGCACAAATCTCCTAAAACTCCACCACAGGAAATTTCTATCCCTTTCTGTTGCTGACAGGATCTCTGTACGTCCCAGGGGGCAGGCACAAAGGGCAGAGCGCTGTTTAGATTGCTGACTGGTGCCTCCTCCTCAGGACACTTACTGACTTCAACTGTCATCAAGGCTCACTGGTGTGGGTAATGGTCTCAAAACAGGACAGTGGGATTCTTTTCAAAACCAAATGCCAGCACGGCTCTGTTACCTTAGGAGACACTGGGAACACTTTACTGTTGTGAAGTGGATTATAAACATCTATGATTTCATTGGAGTTATTTTAATTTTTGACTCACTGTTTACGACGATAAGACAATGAGCAACTCTTCGATCAGCTGCAATGTGGACTCGAAAATCGACCATCTTTTCCAGCCAACTTTGTACATCGTGGTGATGGTCCTTGGCTTGCCCACCAACTGCATGGCCCTCTGGGCGGCCTACCTGCAGGTCAGACAGAAGAACGAGCTTGGAATCTACCTGATCAACCTCTCCATCGCAGACCTCTTGTACATCGCTACCCTACCACTCTGGATCGACTACTTCCTCCACCACGACAACTGGATCCACGGGCAGGAGTCCTGCATGCTCTTTGGTTTCATCTTCTACACCAACATCTACATCAGCATCGCCTTCCTCTGCTGCATCTCCGTGGACCGCTACCTGGCTGTGGCTCATCCGCTGAAATTTGCCAGGATCCGCAGGGTCAAGACTGCGGTGCTGGTTAGCATCGTCGTCTGGGCCATCGAGATCGGGGCCAACTCCACGCCCCTCTTCCACAACGAGCTCTTCAAGGACCGCTACAACCACACCTTCTGTTTTGAGAAGTATCCCATGGAGGACTGGGTGGCCTGGTTGAACCTGTACCGCATATTTCTGGGCTTCCTGTTCCCCTGGATCCTCATGCTGTTCTCCTACCATGGGATCCTGAAGGCCATCAAAGGGAACATCTCCACGGAGAAGCAGGAGAAAGCCAAGATCAAGCGCCTGGCCCTCAGCCTCATTGTGATTGTCCTCTTCTGCTTCGCCCCTTACCACGTCATCCTGCTGTCTCGCAGCGCCGTGTTCCTCAGCAAGCTGTCCGACTGCAGCTTCGAGGAGAACATCTTCACGGCCTACCACATGTCCCTGGCGCTCACCAGCCTCAACTGCGTGGCCGACCCCATCCTGTACTGCTTCGTCAACGAGGGGGCCCGCCACGACGTGACCCGTGCCCTGAGCACCCTCACGCGCATCTTCACCAAGGCCCGGCGACCCGAGATCTTGACCAGCGCCTCCGTCACCGTGGAGACGCCGCTGTCCTCCAAGAAGCCCAGCTTCTACAACGAGGCCAAGACGGAGCTGGTGGCCCTGCGAGAGGAGTGCCTTCAGATGAAAATACTGAGTATCAAAAAATAAAGGGCAGAAGCCCGCCAAGACTGATGGCTCGATTCTGTTTTGAGAGCGTACTTTATTTTACTCCGTTTTGTTTTTTTGTAAGTGTTTTGTGTAAATCAGGGTTATGAGCAATCACGGTTTGTTTCCCGTAAAACCATGCAACATTTTGCTATTAAAGTTACTACTGAGGAAGGGTTGCCATATTTATGTCCAATAAGTAACTTGAGGGGAATTAAACTGTAACTCATTGCGACAAAAAGTCAAATGTTTTTAATGATGTACAAACCAAGTTCAGCGTTTAAAGATTAAACACGAACAGACACGACAAAGAGAGCTGTGCAGCACTGTGGGTTAACTCTTCTTCCAGAGCTCAGCAGCTTCCAGATCGTGGAGTTTATTTTATTTGTATCAGAGCTGCAATGATCCTTTGTCTGTTTCTTTGGAACTGCATAGCCATAGTTTTGTTTCTATAAGAAGGTTAATTTATTGTTTTAAATTCACAAATAATTTCAAACGCACAGTTAGCTGAAATTGCTACCAAAAGAGGAGTTCTTATCATGCTTTGGAAGGTTTTGTCTTAGTGCACATTGCAGTCACAGTCACTTTATAAGTTATTTTGCTATGTTTTATATATCTTTTGTTCTGTTTTCTTGTAAAATAACTGTACAAAGTTATGGTAACCACAAATGGAATGAGACAATTATTCTTGGTAAACAGGGCTTATTTAATGTTTGCTCCTAATATTAAAATGATTTTATATTTTAAATTCATACTGTGCAAAATGAAAAGTGTATTGACCAGGACCTCTTCATTTTTGAGCTAGAGACCCAGAGAACTGCAGGGACTGTCAAGGATCCCTCAATACGGGGTCCCCCACAAGCTGCTTCAGTAGGAGTAACACAAAGTGGGAACGTTGTCTGCTTTTTCTGGGTTTGGGGTTAAGCTCAGGCACGTGGTTGGAATTGAGTGACTCAAAGATACAGCCCAAGTGTGCACATTCTGATGGGGGAGCAACAAGGCTTGATTGCTTTGCTTTAATTATGTTTAATTTCTTCTTCTCATTTGAGATGTTGGTACAAAAAAGTCTTATTCAGCTTGACATCAGGGTGGAGATTGTGCAGCATATTTGGTGAAATACACATGATCAATGCTGCTTAAAAAACAGGGCCTTGTGAGCAAAATGATCTGTTAATCCATCGACGGTGGTAAAACTAAATCAAACTGCCCTCCCTGGAAGTAAAACAGTTGTGCGCACTGTGAACATTTCCGTCTCTGACTTGGTGGACATGCCGTTGTTCAGACCCACAGGCTAGCCGTTTAGAGGTCGCTCTGTCACTGTGAGCCAGTCCAGCATTCATAATATTAGCCATTTCATTCGGGTAAGAAATTTTAACTTGATCGTGAGTCCTCTGCTTTTTTCCCTCCGGTGCTCAGGCTCCAGTGGGTTTCATACTGTCGCCTGTCTATCAAACGAAATACTTTGCATCTAGAATCCGGATGGTGGCCTCAGAAGGGAGGGATCTTCCCCGTCTCCCCAAGCCCTCACGATCGCTGGCTGAGAACTATGTATTGTTCAACTGCAGAGTCAGAATAACGGGGCACCTGTACTGCACCATGCTGTGTGCTCAGTGCCCTCATGGGGAGCCCTCCTGGAGACTGAGCTCTTGATGAGATTCTTCCTCAGTGAACTGCTCTGCCATTCCTCTCCTGCCTGCAAGCCAAGCTTGGTTTGTCCCGACAGAACGACCCCATCTGTGAGTTCAGCCCAGGTCTGGCTCAGACTCTTTTTTCTGTTATGCAGCTGCCTTGTCTCAGTTTTAGATCTCAAGGTAATTGTGTTGATTTTTGCACAGTGTGATATCGATCAGAGAAACTAAAGGAACTTTATTCGGAAAGGCAAGAGGGGATTCTGAGCAGCCAGTTGGCTCCTGATGCTAATGCTTTTTTGTAAGGATATTGTACATATTTGTACATGACCAGAAGAAGAGGCAGATCTGTTTTTCTAGCTAACTTCCCCCAAAATGCTAAGCACCCCCCATTCCCAGCCTTCAGCAGAGAAGAGGCTTCTGCCATTGAAGGTGCTGCTCTCCAGGAGAATAAATTGACTGCTGAGGGGCAATAGCAGTTCTCCTGCGTGTGAGCTGTAGGCCTCATGCATAAAAAATAACACCTCCCAGTTACTGAGCAATTGTGCTTTTATTATGTATTCCTCTGCGATGATTGCTTTTTTTATCAGGTGTGTTGTATTTCTGCAATACCAAAACATCTCTTAATTAGCTTGAGTTGTAACGCTTTGAAGCTCATGTTGTTACCTTAGTGGTTTCCACAAGGTGCATGCTTCACTTGTGTGCTTTTCAGATATCTCACTTAACTGCTGACAGTTCATTTACAGCTACCGCCCTGTCCCCAGTTCTAAAAGCAGAGTGTTGATGGCTGTGGTCAGTCAGGCAGCAGCTGGCTCTGTAATGTCTGAAATGCATCCAGTTCCAGTTGTTACCTCAAAGGGCTGCTCCTCTGCGGTTGTAATTATTCTTCATGTAATTTGTGCAGTGGGTATGATTTAATCTTTCCTACGAGAGCTCTCATACAGGTGATAAAACTCTGGCTTCCAGTTCTTAAATAACAAAACATACCCGCCCTTGCCCTCCCTGGTTCACATTGTTGTGGAACTGACGTACACGCTGAAAAATGCAAAGTGTTGTGATTTTGATCTGCATCTCTTCAGAAGGCTAAATTTGGTCAAGGTAACGAAGCGGGGAGCTCGAAAGGAAGCAAGTCGCTCCAATGTGCTCTGCTTCCCACTTGAAAAGAGTCCAACCTGAGCTCGCTGGCGGCAGCCGGAGAGTCACCAGCACAAAACCGGGCTGTGTCGGTCTCCAGGCCTGTCGCTAGTGTCACTGGGATCGAGGCCTTCGACTGGCAGGGCTGCTGAGGCCAGCGGGTGGCATGAAGGGCGGCGTGGGGATCCTGAGTGCGACCCCACAGCCTGGGCGTTGGAGCATCGGAGGTAACCCACTTCATTCACATCTGGTGATTCATATTGTTTGGGTGTGCAAAGAAAAAAACTATTCTAGCTCTAAATTTCCGAATGTAATCTCTCTTAAATGAATCGGAATTCTCGGACAGGGATGGATGAGGCTCAAGTCCCTGGAGGA